AGCCTACTGTAGGCTAATCTAGTTTTTATGCATTTTAAAATATTAAATAATTAAAATAAACTGAATAAGGTTTATATGTACCCAAGATCAGCCACTAAGTACTTCAGATAGAAAGCCCATCTCTTGTAGGTACCCAAATATTTACAGAGTGTGTCTTAAATGAGAAATTGGATACCCTGCTCAGCCCTGCCGAATTATTTAATGGTCTTTTTTCACTTGTTAAGCTAGATGTCTAATCTACAGAAACCTTAAAAACACACCCAGGGCCTGGACACTGGCAGCCAAACACATCACAGAGTGCGTGTTAGAAACTACTGTTGCTTTGTTGAGATAGCCAGCAACATCCCACTGACCTGCAGGCTTGAAAGATTTAGTGGAAAAAACCCCAACCCAACCTCCATCAAAACCAAACATTAAAAAAAAAAAAAAAAAAAAAAAAGACCGTGATCGTGTTTAATTTAGTGCAAAGGTGAAGGTTGGGCTGGGAAGATGAGCTGCATGGGTGGGTCACTGCAGAAATGCCTCTTCCCCTCCCGCTCCCTCTGCTTTTCCAATGGGTGGCCAAAGAAAGTTTATTCCCCTTATTTTTTTTTTTTTCCTCCATTAAATCTGCACAAGTGTTAAGTTTTCAAAGACTCTGAGATTCAAAGTGCTGTACCCAACACAGAGCCCTTTTTTCTTCTGCCTTTGATTTTATGCACATTTCAAGCTGGTCAGAGAGTACATGGGGGTTTTGCAAGGGTTTTTGTTTAGGCATGGTGGTGGGGTTTTAGCTTTCATGCTGCCAACCTTCCCATGATTATTGCCTATTAATTGCATCTTAATAAAGGTGCTGACCAAAGAAAGGAGTAATTTTTCCTTGGTGCTAGATTTCCAAACTTGATTGGCTTTATTAAACGGAAAGACAAATAAATTTAAACCCTGCACTGAAATATCTTAGCGTAGGACACCAGCAGTTAGAGGTCACCAAGTCACTTGGACTTCCTCCCAAGAAAAGCAACATCATTTTTCAATGTCCAGCCCCACGGCATCCCGCGGTGCCTCACACAATTCGTTAGTGTCCACACCTGCTCTGTGCCGCTTGGAGCAGGGCTGAGCCCGTTTGGATGGGGCAGGATCAGTCCCTGAGAGATTTCTATTATGCTTATGGTTTTGGAGCCCTTTTTGATCTCCTACAGCATAGTTAGATAAAAGCATGTGGTTGGGATTTCCTTGTTCTGTTATTAAAGCAAAAAATCCCCTTTATATAAGGAAAAAACCTTTCATTCACTTTGTGAAGTATGTTAGAATTCAGAAGGTAATCTCAGCTCCATTTACCTTTTTTTTTTTTTTTTTTTTCATTGGAATAAGCAAATTCCTTTGTTCTGTGCTCTGCTTTCCTCTGCTGTGAGATGGGGATAACTACTTCTCTGGTTGCACAGTCCTATATGGATGTGCCAAGGTTGCCTCCATGCATTAGGGTATGGTCCACAGGCTGCTGTGTAATTTCTCAGCATGGAGATACCAGTATTAGGGAAGCTGTGAGGCTCTTCTACAGCGTTACTAAAGATTTTGAATAGATCAGTACATGTCGGTGGGTTGCAGCCACAGACAGAATGGCCACATAGGACCATTTTTGGAAGAGTGACCATCCCCAAAGTCAGTGTAACTTTTTGCTGCTGTGTACATCTGTTGCTCACTTCAGTGCAAGTCACCATTTGTTACCATTTTCTGAAATGTACCTCTTGTATTCTGAATAGTTTTGTACCATGGGTAGGGATGGGCAGTGGTGGCAGTTGAAAACTTAGCACCTTTACATGCTTCCGCTGTTGAATTTGTAGATGCGAATCACTGCAGCCAGGGATGCATAATCTGAATTTCATATGAAAACACTGAATCGGAGAGGTAGACTGGAGCAGAGAGGTGATGAGACCAGACATACCATTGTCAAGGTACAACCCTACGCTGCTTGACTTCCATTTCCAAGGAGATGTGGGCTGTAGCCCCACTTCTGGATACCTTTGCCTCCAACAGATCTCCTAGTGGGAATAATGTCTCTGGTGTTCTGTTGAGGGATCCCAAAGCCACCTCTCTCCACATTAAATTTTCTGTCTTCTTCTAGACTTCTCTGTAGTGTTTCTTTGCAAAACCCATTCTCTGGCTGCCTATTGGCACCACTACAGGCTTCTCTGTGCTGGAACCCCTTTGCCAAAAAAAAAGTGGGTGGTGACCTAGTCACTTAGACAAGCCGTTCTCCAAGAAATAACCTTGTGGAAGAAGAGCCATCGTGAACACAATTTACCATTTGACATGGGCTGGGGTCTTCTCTTCCTTGGGTAATTATGGCTGAAAGAGCAGCCTCTTACCCAGCTCTTGAAATCAAAGGCGTGTTATGTCTTCTAAGTAATATCCGTTCAGCTATGAAGAGTATGTTTATGTTTCTCATGTTAAAAAAGAGGAAAAAAAAAAAAAGGGAAAGGGAAAAAAAGGGAATCTGAGGTTACTGTTTTGCTGGAAAAATGTCAAGACTTGATTGGCAATATCCCGCTAAACCACAAGTTTGTAGGAGAGAAAACAAAACCATTGGATTTTCTAAACTATGCCTATGTGCACTTTAAGAAAATGTATACCGTATAGGTCAGTTATGCTCTTATTATAGCTGTGGCAAGCATACATATAATTGAAACGCAGAAATACTACCCCATGCTGTTCAATGAATGAAGGGAAAACAAATCTTAATTATTCCTGGGTTCACATAATATATAGGAACACTATTGTCTTCTTTTTTTTTTTTCTTTATTTTCTTTTCTTTTAAAAAAAAAAAAGCCAGTTTTAGCTTTCAGATGTATTTTATTGTCTGTGGGAACATGTGTTTTACAGACCTGTCATGTGAAAGCTATTAACAAGAGGAACTGGAGAAATAACAATAAGCCACGTAACTGTGGCATGTCTACTGCCTGAGTTCAACTGTTACGCCGCTGCTTCAAGTGCATGTGAAATTGGATCGCACCGAGCGACATTAGCTCTTCTCCTGCAATTTTTCACTGGGAAACTTAAGGATTTTTTAAGTGGCCTATTAATATTGGATTGCTGGCATCAGAGGCACGTTTTGGGGCCAAGCTGGCTAGGCATCAAAACGGTTAAATAGTGGAATGAAGATCGACTGGATTCACATGAGATGTCCAATTTTATTTACCAAACCTGAGTGGGGCAGGCAGTTCTGAAACCTTTGCTCGCTGGTTCACACGTGTGATGGAAACCAGTCTGCCCTGCCAAACACCATGTGGCCCAGTGCTTGCAGTTAACCCATTTCCAGAGTTTTTTAGAGAGGATCTGAAAGGGATTCTGAGTGGTGGCCCTGGCCACTCTTGGGTACCTGAGAGGCTTCAGGTCTGTGTGTGGTTGTCCCTCCTCACAGATGATGGAGATTTTCCTTTTTCTAAAGACTAACAAAAACCCCTACTAATCCTGGATTAGGCAAACCTATCAACATATAGGAAAAGGAGCCAAAATGGATTGTACAACGTGTTCACATGGAGATAGGGAACATTATTTTGATGGCATTTTTTAACAACTTGGATGGTAGCCTTGCTAATCACATCTAGCAGATTGTGATTGCTACAAAGGTACCGTGGACAAATTTATGTCAAATCCAACAGCACTCCATTTTTTTACAATTTTTTAAAATTTTTTTAGTTTTAAAAGGAAAAACCTTCTGATGTCTTGGGCTGCTAGCTGTGTAAACAAACTCACAGATACTTAAGCAAGTTTAGTGGTTGACAAATATTCCCTAGTGCTTTCTGTAGGATCTGGGCGTGAGACCTGTTGTCTTGGCCCAAGGACAGCTTGAACCACTGTGCATTTGTGTTCCCCTTATCTGGGTTTCGCTCTGCAAGCGGGAGGAGGGTTTCCTGTACCTGGTGGTTTGTGATTTACTCTGAACACAGGTTTCAGGGAATTTGGGGCTTGTTTTGGTAGGGATGTACCGCTGCTCTTGGTGACGGACTTAATAGCAAAGATGGATAGGGAAACTGAGGTGAAGAGAAGGAGCGTGCCCTGCCCGAGGTAACATCGTGGCTGGGAAATACTCCAGGGCTGCTCTCCCAGTTTTGAGGCAATGCTGTATTTCTCCGAGAGACTTAGAAGACTACGGAGTTACAGATGTGCAGCAATTTCAAGGTGTCCCTGCCACAGTGTGTGTCCTAACCCATCACCCCATGGTTTTGAGCAGATCTCTTCCATGCCTGGTGCAGAGGTCCAGCCGAGCCGTGCAGACACAGGCCTCCTGCACAGGGGGTTCTCAAACAGTATTTAAAAACAGATTTCACATGGCTTTAACGTGATTGAAAGCGAATGGGCTCTGATGGGAGTTGAGCAGCTCTTGTGGATGGGCTGGTTGGGTGCATGCTCAGCTTCCCCTTGCATTGGATGGGTCAAGGAGGGCTGTCCCACAGCTGCTCAAAGCACAGTCTTACGGCATTAGTAGGTACAAAAATACGCTGCAAATACAGAGAGGAGGGAGCCAAGGAAGGCTTTCAAAGGCATAAAAGTAACGGGGATTGTAGTGTAGTTGGGCTGACCAGGTAGGAGAAGCTGGGCTGATACTCGATCCTCCAGTGTTTGTTTGCACAGCTCTGGGCTGCCTGGCCATGGGGCGCTCGGCAGAGCATTGGGCCCTCCCCGGAGAAAAGTGCCAGATTCATTTTCATGGCTTTTTTTTTCAGAGGGATTGCTTTAGGGGTCTATTCCTGTAAGTTAATATTTGCAATGCACAGGGCTTAACTGAAACCAGGCAGTGCAGTCATCTGATAACCATAACAGAGGAGATGCTTTTTCCCCACAAGAGCAACTTGGAAAAACAAATCCTAATGCCATTCCCTTTGGAAAGATAGCAATATGGAAAGAAAAGCTTCAGCAATGGTGCTGCGTGATTTGCAAGGGGCTTTCTAGTTGGATCTTTTTAGCAAGCTGCTTGTGTTTGCCTGTATTGCTGATGAGTTTGGTGTTGTCTCTCTTTCTAGCTGGGTTGCCCTTCCTCATCATTGAAACGAGCACAATCCAGCCCTACCAGCGGGGCTTCTACTGTGACGATGACAGCATCAGGTACCCGCTGAAGACGATGGAGACGATCAACGACGCGGTGCTGTGTGCTGCGGGCATCCTCATCGCCATCCTCGCTGTAAGTACCACCTCTGAAACCTCCTCTTCTGTCCCTTGGGCATCCCCAGTGGCTTTTTGTCACCTCTTTAGTCGATGGCACCGACGTCCTGTTGGCATTGGGAGTTTAATGCAGTCTTGCCAGTGTGTCCATACTATCTACTGAGGTGCTGCACATCTCCTCTGCAATTATTTGTCTTCCGCGTAAGTGTGGAGCAGTAAATATTTGCAAATGAAAGCTTGTAATGGGAGGAATGAAATTACTCTAGAAGCCCATAAACAGGCCCAAAGCTGTTTGGGCAAGTCTGTGAGCTCCACAAGAGCTTTTTCACCCTCCAGTAAGAGTTCAGAGTAGAAGCAAAAAGACTTGTATGTCAATAAGGACTTGGCATGGTTTGTCCCTATTCAAATAACTCTTGGTATTTGCCTATTTTATAAGGTTTAAACAAAAAAAAAAAAAAAAAAAAAAAGAAAGGATACATCTTTTCAGCTAGCCAGTGCCTGGAAAAGTTTCACAGGTTAGTATTAGCTTTTTAAGAGACTGTATATTACAGCCATTTAAAAAAGACAATTAAAACCTTCCATGGGGAGTGTATTCCCAGAGTCCTTGCTGTAAAAAGTAGTTAAAGCACCACCTTCCCAATGCCTCCTCGTTTCTCTTTTCCTGCCAGCTTTCCTAGAGCTATGCTAGGAAACAGTTGCACCGTGAGAGGTTTATATGTCAGCCAAAAAGCTGAGTTCAGACCATGGAGCTGAGCCTCCTTATGCCAGCATGTATCTGGCACTGGGGCAGAAGGCAAGAACTGTCTCCTGGTTGTTGGTTAAATGCTTCCAGCTGAAAATGAAATTCCCCTATGAAAAGTACCTACGTTTTCCTTTTCACCTGCTGTCAGCATAGCTCAGGTGCTTTCCCAGAGATGCTGCCTTCCTCTTGATCCTTTGGCTGAGAGGGATGGGGATGGAGAGGTTGGGAGCACTTGTTCCCCTCTTGGCTTTCCTCTTTCCTCGTAGGAGTAATGTCACGGGCAATAAGTATTTTAGCATGGCATGGTGCCTGCTTTGGTAATACCCCATCCCCAGGCTTGCTGCTTTGTGCCGTGAATATCTCCGTTTCCTGATCTCTCCATCATTTCCTGACCACATATACTCACTTAGCAAAGTAGGTCCCCAAAACTGCCTTGTTCCTATGCCTCCTCCCTCCTCAAAACAAGCCTGAAAGGTGCCAGACCCCCAATTCTATAAACACAGCAGAATTTTACCCTGCAGGTGAATTACCCCCGAGTGTGGAAAAGCCATAAAAACAAAATGAAAAAGCCTCTCATTTTCACATTACTGCCTGAGCTATCGGCACGCCGGCTCCATGCGGAGTGTGCTTCTGATCAGTAATGAGGCAGTGGCAAATACAGGAGTTGGAACAGAAACTGGAAACATAATCAGCTGCCTATGTGATCCATCAACTTTCTACCTCAAAATAGCAGGTCAATTAAAAGAGAAAGAAAATCCCCAAAGAATGAGATGTTTCTGCCCTGGTTTCACTGTGCCCACAACAAATGTAACTTAATAAGGTAAATTCAAAAGCTTGGTTATTTGCTGTTGAGTGATACAAATGGCTAACGAGGAATTGAAGCAACAGATTTCTTTGCTATGGCAGCATGCATGGAAAATTCAAGTCAGCCTGACCTCTTTTTTCAGATGTAACCCAGATACCAGAATTACTGTAGCATAATAGGAATTCCTTCCAAATCCACAAAGCACTGACTCTGCTCCTTTCGCTCACAATGTTTGCCTTCGGAAGGCAGGACAGCGGTTATGAGGACTTCCAGGGAGCTGGCGTTTCAGATGGAGCAGCCAAAATTTCACGCCCTTGCTTTACGTGGCATCATGGGCAGCTTAGCTCGGGGTAAAAGGTCCAGGTCATGTTTTAAATGGCTTGAGGACACCCAGAGTGCCCATTAAGTAAACGGCAAAGGTGAAGACCTTTGCTTCAATCAGGATGTGAGAGGATATGCATTTGGTTTTAATACGTATGTATTTACTGACTTCAGGCAAATTTCTGTGCAAAAGACCCTGGAGAGGCTTGTGCCCCTGGGCTGTGTACTCTCACATAAATCCCGACTGCTCTTCTTGCTGGAAGTTAGGTGGTTAGATGGTTAATTTGATTGGCACAGAAGCATGTTGATGGTCCCTGGAATGGCCAGGGGAAGGTGACATTTTCCTCATCCTGAGCCTCATGCTGCTGTGGGGCCCCATATCCCCACACCTTGATAGGTCTTGAAAGTCTGTGAAAAATACCTAAGAAAACTAATTTCATAAGTGATCTAAGTGACACAGCTGAATTAGTTGGTTGTTTTACAGCTGAAGGTGATATGTTTCAATGTAATTAAACACAGAAAACGTTACACCAGAGACATAAGTGGTTAGAAAACTCTAAAAGTAATTACAGGCTAATTGGACTGCTGGTGATATCTTATAATAACAATAAAATGGGCATGACAACCAGAAGTCTGCAAAAGGCATTCACAGGCAGTAAAGTTTGATACTGGCTTCTTTCTAGTGACCATCTTTCTTAAATGTGTGACAGTCCCCTGGGAGCTTTGCCCATCACATAGGTGTGGCACATGTCCCGTGCAGATGGCTCACCAGAAGTGCAAGGCACCATAAGACCTTAGTATCTTCAGGACTTGTTTACTTTCCAGGATGTCCCTTCAGTTTGTGCACATCTGTGCTGCATTAGTTTTTCACCATCCTGCTTTATCTGGGACGGCACTGCCAAAAAACCAAGTTTACCCAATTTTTAGCTTCTCATTAAGGTTGAGCTATGGCTTTAACTAAGCGGGGAGGGTTCATGGCTGCCCAGCAGTGTGTTAGTCAGGGAATGAAGTCTCCAATTTACAATCTGCTACATGTGTGCAATTACCCAGACCACCAACGGTGAAAGAAAAATATTAATCCCCAGACTTTTGTTGGTCCCTATTTAAAATGGTCACATGCCTTTCCCAGGCCAAGAGCCTCGGGTTTACGTGGATCTGTTTGTGAGTTTGGAGTAATGGCACATCTGCCAGTATCAGATGTCATCCTTAATCTGTCTTGTCTCCCCTCTGCAAAAGCTATGAGTTTTGAGCCTCGTAGCTCCCTTTCTTGTGAATTTAAGGTTTCGGGAGGCTGCAGGTGACGGCCGTGTCCTTGTGCAGGAGCCTCCGTGTCCATCCCAGACTGCCTGGAATTGACTCCTGGTAGAGGAGCAGGAGATGCTCCAACTTCCCTCTGTGATTCTCATGCCAGTAGATTTCCTAGCTGCCAGCTTCTGCTAGAAAGTGGTCCAAAATGGGGATAAACAATGGGTTTTGGAGTCTGGGGGGATTCAAATGACACTGGAGCTCGTTAGCTGCAGCTCCCCAGACAACTCTTGGTTGTGACCAGAATTCCAAGCTCATCAGTGATATATAAACCCTGAATGATGGTGCAGCTACTCAGAGTATTTCTGTGCATGGTAGCAGGGCACTCTAGTTTGGCCTTTGTTTTTTATTATTATAGTTGTATCTCTCTTTGATAAAGCCTTCATAGCTGCAGTTTCAGCTGCCTTAGGTCAACCTTAGTTTTTTCAAGCCATGGTATGAATGAGTTCAAACAATGATACAGCTTCATCTCCTCTTAGTCTAATTGCCATACTTTTCCAGTTTATTAGTTTCCAAAAGTTGTGCCAAGCTTTTAAAAAAGGTAGGCAGGGGAGCCTTGTCTCCTGCATGCTGCTGGCAGGCTGCCATGCCGGGAGGAATATTGCTGGCTGCTTCAAAAAGGGATTAACATGAAGGCATTTTTTCTGACAGTTAATTTTACATATCACAGTCCTTGTGACTAGAGAGGGGCAGGGACAAGGGGGGCAGCCGAAAAAAATAAAAAAGGCCTTGATTTATTACTCAGGTATAAAAACATTTAAAGTAATGAATAAAATCCTAAAGCTGTAAATCTGGAGCTCAAAACCTAGGTGTGTAACGTGACGGAGAACAATTTAAGCCTTTGCCTGTTTGGGAGAGGTGAGACATTTGGACTTCATTTCACAGCCTGATTTTCATTATAACCCGCCTTTTAAGAGCCAGGATTATGAAAAGCCAGGTCCTCTGCTCCCTGATGGTGATTTATGGCGACATTGTCAAACCCCAGCACCCATGACACAAGAAAAACATAATTTGCTGCCATATGATGGCAAGACCCCTTGAAATGCCCAGAAATAGCTGGCGCTTAAAGAAGCTTTGAGCAGCTTGATTTGGGTCTGATGATAGCAAATTTGGGGCCAGAATCTGATAAGTTTGGGACTTCCTGCATCTTCCCCTGTTGTGCTCATGGTTTTCAGAGAGGAAGATAATACGGTTGTTCGTTTGTTTTCCTCCAAAATCAGTTTGATAAGATGGTAGTGGATCTGGTCTCTGCTTCCTAAGCATACACCGATTCTTTATCTGGTTTATGTTAAACTTTTTTTCCCGTTATGCTGGTATAGATCTGGGGCACTATTTCACTTCTGTAAAAACAAACCAGTCTGCTAAACCAAAATCCTGTTGGTTTTTGTTGGTTGTTTTTTTTTTTTTTTTTTTCCCTTTGTTCTTGTTTATTGAATTTTTCCATAAATAACATTTCGAGCACTGCCATCTTTTCTTGAGAGGGAAGAGGATGAGGATGGAGAGATGCTGGGCTATGGGCTCTCCTTCCTTACTGGGGAAACAGATTGCTGGCTCGAGATGCTCGAGCTGTCTCAGCCCTGCTTTTGTCACCCATCACAGGTTTTCCACAGCATCTCTTCCCTGCTCTCTAATCTCTCTCCTGCGTTTTCCCCACAGATTATAACGGGAGAGCTCTACCGCATCCACTACCTGAAGGAGAAATCGCGCTCCTTTATCCAGAACCCCTACGTGGCAGCACTCTACAAGCAGGTGGGCTGCTTTGTTTTCGGCTGTGCCATCAGCCAGTCCTTCACAGACATTGCCAAAGTGTCCGTCGGGCGCTTGCGGCCGCATTTCCTGGAAGTTTGCGATTTGGATTTCTCCACCATCAACTGCGCTAAGGGAGTTTACATCCAAAACTACACCTGCAGGGGAAGCGACAGCAAGGTCCAGGAAGCCAGGTGAGAGCCTGTGGCATCAAAGTGATGGTTTGCTGCCACCAGAACGGTGTCTTGCACTATATATGTCTCAGTTTCTCTGCCAGCAATAGATGATTCAAACAGTGCTTTCCCTGCAAAGGCTGTAACTCCATCTGCCAGCGACAGGCAGTCTCCCTCAGGAATTGCAGGACTTGGCTGAGTAATATTTCTTTTCCTTTCTCTTTACTCCTACACTATTGTTTCCCTGAGCGCTTGCTCAATGTGGGAATTCACCATCAGATCTGAGCTCACGGTGAGCAGCCCGAGCTGTCCCATGCAGCGGAGCAGAGGGTTTCTCCTCCAAGGAGGCTCCACATAGGCAGGGCTGCCAGCACCTCCCCTTCGACTCGCAATCAAGTCCATCAGATGCTCAATTTTGACATTTCCAGGGGCGTGCTTCACATGACACAATTCACTGACTGGAGAAGTTGCTCACTTATTATTTCTTTACGGCTTCCTGGTTATTTAAGGCGAGACGATGAGTTGTCAGGCTATCCTGGAAATAACTCCTGTCCCACGAGTAGACCAGGAAGGGACGAACAATGTGAGCATCCTGTCCATCCGTTTGCTTTCTGTCTCATGAGCGAGCAGGGCGGATAACGGAGGTTTTAAAACCCAAAAGATTGGGGGTTGTGAGTTCCTCTGCTTTGGCACCCTCTTGGTAGCAGCAGGCAAGTCCCCATTTTGCATGTAAAATTATAATAGTGTTCATAGATTATAGTGGCTGGTTCTTAGCACCTGCTTTGTTTTGCAGGAAATCCTTCTTCTCCGGACACGCGTCCTTCTCCCTCTACACCATGCTGTATTTGGTGGTAAGTAACCTCAACCTTGCTTGAGACTGAGCTGATTTATCCCGTGTCCCCCTTTCCCAAGGCACTCACCCCCGTTCAGTAGCAGTTATGGCACGATGAGCATTGGAGATAGCGGGTCAGTTGAGCTTGAACAAGCTGATGGTGGGAAGATCCACTCTTGGCCCCTGTGGTGTTATTTGGGATGGAGACTCCTGGGGTGATAGCCAGGCTGTGCAGCTTTGGGTTGTAGCCAAGGCTGCAGTACGATCTGAATCCTACTAGATCTTTGGACGACCTGTGCAATTCATTTCACCCCGCGTTGTGGTTTCCACTGGGGAGAGTTTGGAGCAAGTCAAAACGTTGTATCAGCGGGGCCCGGGGGGAAGATGTGCCGTTGCAGCTCCTGTCTGGAAGGTGAAGGCTGGTTTCCAAACGTGCCAATGGAGCAGGTGGAGCAGCCTCTGCCCGCCCGGATCCGGAGCGGAGGGCTGGGACTTGTTTTTCTTTGTCAGTGAGAAATGGCTCTACCCTTCCTGCGCCGGGGCTGGGGCCGGGGCGGCTGCCAAGGTGCTTCCTGCTGGGGCTGCGGGAGGCACGCTGCTCGCACCCCCTGAGGGGCTGGCCCCGAAAGAAGCCTTTTGGGGAGGACCTGGATAGTGATTTGTATTTGGTTTGCCTTTTTTTTTAATTAAAAAAAAAAAAAAAATCAGGAAAAAGGTCTTGGATTCCTTTCAAGATTTGTACCCCCCCCCTCCCATCTCCCGTAAGCTCAGACTAGCAAGCAAACAAACAGCATGACACTGATAAAAACATTAAATGTGAGCTTTTATCTGTAAGCAGTGCTTTCCCTCCATCCCTTTACCCTCTGAAAAGATAAATGACCACACCTCCCTCCTGCATTTTCAGCCCTGGATCCACCCCCCCCATGAGCAATTTCTATAATTCTGTAATTGTAATGTTGGTCATGGAGTATTAAATTATTTCCTTGTTTTCCCCCGTATTTTTTTTTTTTTGTTCTTGGAAAACTTTTGAAGCTGTTCAGTAAACATTTTGGCTGTTTCCTCCCAGCCATGTTACAATGCAGAGCCGCCCCAGCAATGCTTTGCAGGAGGCTCAGCCGCCTTCTGCTGCCGTCGCAAAACCTTCCAAGCTGAGTTTGGAAGCCATTGCTCACACTGGCATTTATTTATTTCTGAGATCTGTGGGCAGTCAGATAAGTCAACCCCGAGATGCGTTCAAGCCTGGCATGGGAAAACAGTGAGGACTGCCAGTCCCTATTAAGTTGGTGGTGGTTTCTCTTCAAATACTCAGCAAGATTGAGGTTGTCCTTTCAGGTATTTTTTTATGCTGCTCCCAGGCCTTTTTGGAAGCCAGACCTGATGCTTTACCTTTTTGCACAGGATCACGCCCTGCAGCACCCTTTAGGGTAGGGGACAAACCTGGGGGGCTGTGCCCAGCTGGGCAAGCACTTGCCCCCTTCCCACATTTCCACCTCGCTCACTTTGGCAGTGGCTGCTCAAACTCACCAGGGCTTGACCCTCTTTCTGTAGGGTGCTGGGCAGACCATGTTGCTCTGCCATTTTTTTTTTACTGCGATTCTGTGAAAATCCAGCAGTTACGGAGCAGGCGAGAAACAAACAGGAATGCTGTTGGCAGGGGGTGCTTTGGAGATCCCAAAACTGCAGCATGCATGCAATGTTCCCATAGGATGCGTGGAAAACCTGCATGGCTCGTTTTCCAACACCACTATGCACCAATGTCCACTGCCTGGTTTTCTTTTTAACTTTACATCAGGCTTCTAAAGTGGCATTTAGCTCCTGTGTAACATTTCAGAGCAGAAATCTGCCTCTGATCTCCCTTTGCTGCCCTTCCCTGTGCCCGTGTGGGAGCACTCAAGCTATCAGTGCTCAGCAGCCTCTGCCCCTCTCCCCCCCAATCCAGGACAACAACCTGTTCCACTTACCCCTCTCCATGGAGGGGTTTTGATGTCCAGTCCCTGAAGAATGATTTTATTTTTTCCCTTGTCCCAAAACAGGGATAAGGTTGGTAGCAGGCTCTGTCTGACCAGCTGTTCAGTTGCCTTGTGCCTTAAAAAGTCAGGGGAAAAGTTATACCAAGTGTTCAGTCATAAACTGAAGGGAGAAAAAGGCAACCTGAGATTAGACAGTGTGGTGCAGTGTGTATCAGAGGTGAGGAAATTACGATCTTCCAACTGAAATGATTCTGTGATTCTCGTCTAGCAGCACCCTGCTCTCTCTTACTCCAACTCCCTGGCCGCCACTAGAGCCTGAAGGAGAAATCTCATAGAAAAAGGAAGGCAGAAAGTCTGTCGTGTTGGATAGGCCGATAATATCAAAAACTAATTAAAAAAAAAAAAATTAAAAAAAAAAAAAAACAAACAAAAAACCAAACAACAAGAAACAAACAAACAAACAAACAAAAAAAAAAAAACAGTGGGATTTTATTTGATGTAAAATAAACCCACTGTCTTGCCCAGCTCAATGAATGAGTGGGTTTTTAAAAGCCTGGTTAGAAATGTGGAATCCACCATGACAGCACCTGCAGAAGGTGGGTTTGATTGATTTAATCAAAGAATAATCTCAATCAAAACAAAACGTTTGTTCTCTGCTTCCTAGGAAGCGAGGGCTGTGCCGCAGCAGGTTGCTGCTGGTGCTTTGGGTACCGGGTGTTTGCCAGGAGCCTTTGCAGAATGTGGGTGTTTGTGGGGCTGAGCGTGTGCTGCAGAGTCTTGGCTGATCGGCCGCATCCTGAGTGCATTCCCTATTCAACAATACTTCATATTTGAAGGATCAGTCACTTCCCGTCTTTCCTGGCGTTCCTTGGCTTCACTCTTAGAGCCTATTCTGAATTATAATGTTTTCAAGTTTGCCTCACTTGATGGAGACGGGTGCCAGAAAGCTTTAGTCGGTCTATTAAAAGATACCTGGATTCCCACGCATCCCACGGGGCTTCGCCTCGCACCATGGAGCTGGGTTTTCCCCACGTATTTGGTAGCCAGCGGGTGGGTGACCACGGCTTCCCCATCGTCTGGCACAGCAGCGGTGCCCTGTGGTATCCATCAAGGAGAAGCAGTTTGGCCATGGGCTCCTGGTAGGAAAAGGCAAATAGATGCCAAGCCCCGAAGGGCTCTGGGGGAAAAGTCCCGGGGAAAGGTGCTTGCAACACAGTAAATTCTCCTGGGATTTAGTTCTAAACACTGAGACTTCAGGGCTATGTTTCTCACAGCCTTCTTGTCACCAGGAATACTCAATTAACATCAGGCCTTTGTATAAAAAATTTAAAAGGGGAAATTACACTTGGGTAATCCTCTTTGTCTTAATTTTCCTTGCTTTGTTACTCCTTGGCTGAGCGAGCCCATAATACGTATTTATAGCAGGCTGAGGAAAGAGGAGGTATGTAACAGCTTATTCCGTGCAGCCCTCTGGACCTGACCCGCACCTCTCAGTCTTGTTTTGCTGGATGTGGGGAGTCTTTGCAGAGAGCAATGGATGCTTTCCACTCCCCTCAAGCACGTGAGACCATAATGCTGATGTTTTTGCAGCACAAAGTTGCCTGAAATCACAGCCAACCACACAGGAGATGCAGAAACGCTAAATTAATATCAGAAAAGCTAAATTAATATCCCTCAGTAAAGTTGGCTGATTATGGGTAAAATGAGAGTAAAAGAGGGCAGCTTGTGTATTTAATGTGAGTAGGTGGGTGATGCTGAAGACTTCAAATCGGAATGGGTTTTAGTGTGTTCTACCACTAATATGGAAAATTACAGATGTTGCTGGTTTTGTGTATCGGGGTGAGCATGAGGCTTCTCGCTGGGGTTTCTTGCTGAAGGTTGGAGAAGGTCCCAGTGCCCTGGTGCTGCTGAGCGATGGTGTGCCCGTGTGAAGGACACTCTGTGGTAGTTGTGGACTTGGAGTCAAGTTTAGCAGTGACCTAAGTAAGCGGATAACCTGGAATTACATCAGATGCCAGGGCCGAGGTGTGAACTGTGTTGCTGAGCTGATGGGGATATTCCCAATGGGGTCGGAGGATGCTGTATGCTCAGCAAAGGCGGGGAAGAGGCAAACAGTGCATCCCTTTGGTGCTGGGAAGTCTTTGTCCTTCTCATGTCCTTGTTCCCTGGCCATCTTGGTGCTAAAAGACAAATTCTGCAGTTCCTCTTCCTCCAGCTGGCTTTGCCCAGACAAGGCAGTGCGTTACACTGGGGAGAGTTTGGGTTTGAGGGGTTTTGGCCCCGTACTGCTTTGGGTACTGCTCTGCTTGCAGTTGAGGCAGGAGATGGAGGTGACTTCAGGTCAGACAGTCAGAAACAAGACCAGGCATTTCCCAGAAGGAAATATTAGCTGTGACTAAGGGACGTGGTTGATGGAGTTCAGCCTTGTGGTGGGGAGAGTGTGAACAGGACAGGATTTCAGGGTGGCAGAAAGCCCCGGGCAGCTGGAGGTGATGCTTTTAGTTCATGTCCCCTGCCAGCTCCCCCTCAGTGGGTTTGCTCGGGGGTTGCATGTGGCCACAGGCTGACCCCACCAGCACTGTGGAAGTCCCCTGGCAGAAGAGCGATGTGTCTTCCTTCAAGCCATCTGCTTTGTGGTAACTCAGGCTCTGCCAGGAGACCGTGGATGGGAGCTCCAAATAACTCTTGCTCCATGTAATCCCATTTCATTCCATCCACCCTTGCTTCTGTTGATGCTCCTCCTGACTTTTGCTGCCCTGTGATGGTCTGTGGTGGAAACGACACCAGCTGTGGTCTTGCTCCTCCATCCCCTCCCAGGAAGGGCTCCATCCAGCCCCATGTTCCCATCCAAATCTGGCAATCCTTAGCAGGTAGCACTTCAGATTTGCTCCCAGGTTTCAAAAAAGACCTTTCAAAAGCAGGTTTTCAGATAAATTGCCAGGAAATTCCCATTTCTTAGTAATAGCACTAATTCTTGTTTTAGGGGAATTCTGATCCTTTCAGCCTCCGAGCCATCCTTTTACTTTTTGCTCTTCTCCTATCAACTATGTTTTTCGTTCTTACTGAGGGCAGAGGCAAAGTTTGGAGCACCCTGAGGCTTAACTCTAAAGTACTTAGGGGATTCTCAACACTCGGGTATTTGAGCAGTTTGAGGTGCACTGCATGCTCATAACATACCTGTGGAATATGAAAAGTGCTGTCAGCCTCTTTTTTCCCATTTTTTTTTCCCCATGTTTTTTCTTCCCTTTATGAATGGGGAATGAAAGAGCAATTTTTCTAAGACTTTTATTGCAGCAGTAAAAGGAGCTCAGTCCAAGATCCTTACACTGATAGTGCGGTGTCTGAGATGCATCTATTCAAGTGGGTTTTATTCCTCCAGGATATGCAGGTGTGGGTGTGAGTTGGGTGCTGGGGACTTGGGTGGCACCCAGCACACCCCACATGGTGCCACACTGCCCATGCACACCTCATCCAGGGCTAAAATCTGTATATTAGACACGCAGTTCAGAGCTAAACTTTAGAACGAGTGAATCAGTATACAAACATGATTTTTTTATCGCTTCATCCCCGAAAGTGTCTGCTTCATTGTGTGTTCAAACTCATGGGTTAGCTGTTTATTCCTTGTTTTTAACTGATACTTTGCTTCCTTACCTACAGATGACCTATTTAGTCCAAGTTTGTGGGGTGGAATGGTTTAAGGGGATGTCAAGACGGTGTAAAAGGGACAAAAGTCAAATTATCCAGCAGCAAATTTCTCTCTTAAGGGATTTGATGTGACAGAGCCTCAAGGCTGAAGTAACATATTAGGTTTCAAATCTTCCTGGTAGAACTAAGAGTAATAGTTTATAATGCTTGGAGCTAATTTTGCTCTGCAGCAACATGCTGTTACCTGGGCTGGGCTGGGCTGATGCTCTTGAACATGAAAATAATCCTGAGTCTAAACCATGTCAATAGAAGCATATTTTTATATCTTTTGTGTGCTTTAGAAATGCTACTCTGCATAAATGCTGTGTTTTCAAGGGACACCGTCTCTTTACTGAGAAGGTGTACTGAGAAGGTGTATTTAAAGATATCCGGGCCCCCGGCTCCCTCTGTCACCACCTTCCCTGAATACTTCCCAAGAGTATCTTGCCTGCACAGTTTATTCTCAGTGGCAGATCACTGGGTGCACAAATACCACAAATAACGAAAATTCAGCCAGCCTAAGCATTGCAAACTAAAAATGCAGTTCCCTTCTAATGAACCGCATAGATACTTGCTTGCAGGATTAAGTGCCTGCTGTTAAATCGTTGCAAGTGGCTGTGCAGAATGGGGCTGTGCTATTTTACAGCTCCAGCTTTCCACCTCAGCGGTTGGCTGCATTTTACCTGAAGGGAAAGCACCTCCTCATTGATGGTGGGGTGTTTTTGGTTTGTTTTTCTTTTTTTTTTGTTTGTTTGTTTGGTTGGTTTTTTAGATCTTTCTGAGCAGAACATGACTCCTAATTTTAGTAGGTTGATTGTTGACTCGCCTTTCTCCTGGACTTGGAAATTATCATCACAAACTAGAGAACCATCCCACCGGTCCATCCACTGGGCTACACCAGCGTGAGTTTGCTGTGGGGGATCTAGAGAGCTGTAATTCGTCCCGGAGCATCGCGTGCACAAGTTTGTGTGGTGTGGGGTGTGCGCCGTGGTGACGTGGCTCCGTTCCCAGACTAGAGCTGGTTTGCAGATATTTTCCCCAGAATTGTAATGTGCATTAGCCAGCGCTGAACTGTTTTGGTACTGCTCTCTTCCATGTTAATTGGCTAACAATTTGGGTAATTTGGAGCATCTGCTCCATTCAAATCACATGATGTTTCATTTCCTCTGAAGAGACCAGTGTGTGTTCTTTCCAAAAAGGGGTAAATACAATGTTTATGCAACAGCCAAACATACTAAATTGGCCAAAACGATGCTTCCCCCTTATCAGCTTTCCAATTAATTCTGCTTTTATAGGTAAATGGTATCATTAAGTTATTTGTGGTTTTAGGGAACCCAGCAAGAGCTTCATTCCTTTTTATATCAAGGCAGTGTAAACTGCTCTGGGTGTGTAAAAGGAATTGTAAATGGGTATTTAAACCCCTTTCCAGCCTTCTGATGTTGCAGAGTATGCTGGGTGTGACTTCCAGTGCTTCACAGAGGAACAGGCAGAACGTACCTGCTGTGGCCGAGTGCAGGGGCAGTGGAGCCGAGCTGCAGGAGCCGAGCAGAATTTGCCAGGCACTTCTACGCTCTTGGAGCCATCGAGTGCCTCCCCTCCCCAAGCCTCAAGGCTGCTGGGGCATCCCTCCCCCTTCCCGCAGCCTTCCTCCGTGCTGGGCCCCGCTCATCTGTGGGCAGCGGGTTGCCGTTTTCCTGTCCTCTCTTTCCACCCGGCTTCCCGGTTCCCACAGGAACCGGCTGTGCCCGCCGGATGAAACGGAAACGGGCCTGAGACAGTCACGGGGAGGGGGCAGACAATGTCCATCTGACGGCACGTCAGCTTCGTCTTTTTGGGTCGAGCCAGGAGCTTGCTTTTCCCTCGCTGGGTAGGAGTGACTTCCCGTGCCATGCGGTGGGGCGGCTGCAAACCCCGGGGCTTGGGCTGGGAGCCGTGATGGCAAGGTTAGAGGATTGCATTTTGCATCCACCCCGTCAGTGGTTGCAGCTGTGTCTCGGGGCTGGCTCTGGAGGTGGGGCATGCTGCACTGATTCCTGTTTTTCCCTTGAGGGATGCCATGGGTGCTGCACGCCCCAGATTTGGGACCTTGCTTCTGTTGTGCGCTAAATGGCAGTAGGGAGGAATTCTGTTACTTGGCCCTATGGCACGTTGTGTGGAGGCTGAAGCGGGTCCGTGGCGTGAGCCAGGGGGTACCAAGCCCCTCACCCTGGCTCACCACGGAAGGGCTGTCTCTGCCCACACCCCCTCCATGGGTTAAAATCCCTCCAACTCCACTTCCCCCTCTACATGACATAAGCCACACATTTGCGAAGAGCATCCTTCTTCTTTGACATCTCCCCCTTCTTCGAGCTACAGGGGTGCAGGTGCCCCACAGAGGGGTTGCTGCCATGCGTGCGCATTTTGGGCGCAGCTTCTCCTTTGCTGCCCTCAACTTAACGCAACCTTTTTTGTTTTCCTCTCTTCCCCGCAGTTTTATCTGCAGGCCAGATTCACGTGGAAGGGAGCCCGCCTGCTCCGTCCCCTCCTCCAGTTCACCCTCATCATGATGGCGTTTTACACCGGCCTGTCCCGCGTGTCGGACCACAAGCATCACCCCACCGACGTGCTGGCGGGCTTTGCGCAGGGGGCCCTGGTGGCTTACTGCGTGGTGAGTATGGCAAACCGCGCAAGGAGCGGCGGGGGGGACATGCTGGGGGTCTCGGGGGAGCAGTGGGCACCTCCCCAGCCCCTGCTGCTGCGAGCTGATACACTCTCAGAAGAGGTGGGCCGGCGCCGGCGGTGCGTAGGCTGTTTTGGCAAGGGGTGGTCGGGTGTATCGTGGGTTAGAGATGACAGAACAGCCTCCTCTGGGTGGATTTGGGGCACCACCGAGTCCTAAGGGTTTTAAGCATTTGTGCTTGTAGTACCCGAGAGGATGCGTGGGTAGGGGTGAGCATCAGGATTTAGGGCCAGGCGTAGTGGGGTATCTAACCCCAGTTTGAGCCCTGGCTTTTGTGGAGTTTAGTTGATCGTAGGTGCTCAGATCGTCTTTAGGGTGGTCTTCGGTTCTTTAACCCCCTCCCTGCTGCAGCTGGGGACGTGGCAGAAGGCAGCATGCCCCGTGGGCTTGGTCCAGTGTCATCCCCCGTGTGACAGAGCGTGTAAACCTCAGAGCAGAGCACCCTACCAGCCTGGGGGGTGGGTGCTCTGATGGGCACCTGACAAAGGAGGGTGCACCCACAGGTGTTTTCACCTCCCTGTGAGGAAACACAGGTGCCGTGCTAGAGGGGTGAAGCAATTCCTCTTCTACCCCCCCTCACCAAACAAACTGCATATTCGGCAAAAAAATGCCACATTTAGGGTTTTTTCCCCATCAGCCTTGAGCTCCTGGAGGCTCCTGGGCGAAGGGCTCCTTCACGTTCAGACGAGGGAGAGTATTTCCCTCTCAACCAGCAACATTTGCTTCTCCAGCTGCTCTCAATAACGAGCACCGGCTCGTTTGCAAGGCTTTTCACCAGGACCCAAGCAGGGGGTCTGGGGTGGTTGGGATTATGGCTCTTTCCTTCACAATCCAGCCAAAACCGTCCCCTGGGAGTGGGAGCTGGTGTTTACCCGCTGAGGGGAGGCAGGGTGCCTCATTTGGTGGTGGGTTTTTAATGTAGAGAGAGGGCGCGTGAGAAAACAGCTAACAAAAGCCATGCCCGCTTGTCTTCCGCTGCTGGGCTCGTTCTCATGCAATTTGCTTTCCAGAGTGACCTGATTGTGCAGCCCTGTAACTCGAAGTGACACATGTAGATGTTTAAAGTAGGCAGGGTGGGGGGCACGGGGGCTGGGTGGCTGCCTTGCATCCAAACAAAGGGGCTGGGGGGTTATGGTCGTTCCCGTGTCTGTACAAAATCCCAAAAGCAAGATTTTAACAGCTTACCACTTTCTTGTGTTTTGGATTTTTTTTTTTCTTTTAACTGATCTAAAAGTAAAGCAGCCCTAGAGGCAAGGGATTAAGTTTGCTAATGTTATATTTTGCAAGGAGAGAAAATAGGTTATTTATGTACTTTCCACTCATCGATAATATTCTAGAGCCAAGACAAAAATGTCATTGTTGGGAAGTTTTTATGGAGTATTATTAACTCTCTGAGCAGTAGCTGTTGGGTTTTGCCGTTGCCTGATGCCAATGTCCCATGCGGGGGTGGCACATTCAGAGGAGGAAAATAGAGAAGTGTGAGTGCAGAGGTGCATGCTGCTGCCGTAACGCCCGCTCGCAGCATCAGTGTTGTGGGTCCCGTGTCCTTCACTCCGCTATTGCCAGGGTGTTTCTCCAAATCCTGGTGATCTTTTCCTATCCCAGCAGTCAGCTGGAGCACCGCGACAGCAGCGCTGCCAGCCCTGGGGAGAAAATGTCTTGGGCAATGCCGGGAGCGACGAAGCCACTTGTCTCAGCCCAGGTGCCTGAATTTGTGTGGTGTGGGTTTGTTGAGACACAAGTGTGTGTTGCCAGCGGGTATTTACATCTCGGTGTGCCTTTTTGCTTGAGAGGTGGGATATATAAAGGGAATAGTGACGAGCTGATCCATCCCTGGATCTCGGCAGCGGTTTCAGAAAGACAATAGCTCTCCGGATGCTCGGGATGGGCGTCCGGATGCTTCCCGGCCAGGACGAGCGGCAGGGCTGGCCCTCCCCTCCCCTCCCGGCCCTCCGGCAGCTGGAAACTGTGCTGGGAAGGGTCGGCTGTGGCGGCGCTGGGCTGGTTTTCCTGTGTCGAGGTGAACCGACATAGGAAGCAGCTGCCTGGAGTTTCACGGGCAGGCTCGGCTTTGCCTGCGAGCCTGGGGCAACCTGTGCTGCTCTTCCCAGCCGGCTCGTGGAGGGGACGGTTGGCGCCAAACCCTGTGCAGGCCGGGGACATCTCAGGCAGCAGCTTAGGACTCCGGGCAGGGTTTAAACCCAACCCTTGTCCCATTCCATCAGCTTGCAAAGAACAGTCAATATGTTCTTGTTCTCCCCAACCTGGCTTTGCTGGCGGGAGCCGTTGTCTGGGAGCGGCCGACAGACATTCCTCTCTTTTGGGAGATGGTGGCAAGGGACAAGAGGAAGAATCTCCCCAAGACTCCTTGGAGTTTGCATTAAATGTATAGTTTAGCAGTTTTTGCTAAAATTTCTGGTGTATCAGAGCAATAAAGTCCTGGGGGTCCTTGCCCAGCTCTGTGATCCAGCTCTCGTGCAGAGGATGCTCTGAAGCAGAGGGAGGGACCTGGAAACTCATCATCTCCAACCCACCCTGGGTGCTCCCACACACCCCTTCCCTCAGCAGAGCCTTCGAGAGTCCACTCTGATAGTCAGGGGCCGTTAAAATACCATAGTTATCAGGCTGTAATTTTCAGTAGAAACCAATTGTGGGTTTCATCTCCAAGGGCTGCTAGAGCTTCAATTCAGGTTGTGCTGCAGCAAACACGTTTGTCCTTCAGTGACTGAAATAACAAGCAGAAGACATTAGTGTCAAACACTTCCAGCTGATGAAACATTCGAACTTGGATCCAGAATGAAGTATGATGAGGATTTCTTAAATGGAAATAGTTTTTATGTGTCTTGTAGGCAGGCTACTACGTGTCATGTAGTTTGTCTCATCTGATGGAGAGAGAAGAGGGGAGACGTCAGAAGGACATGCTCCTGGTGTTTGCTCTGCTTAGCTTAGATGAGTTGTTTTAACCTCTCTGTGTGATTAAAGATTTCTTCAATATAATGAAAAGGAATAGGCATTATTCAGTGGCAATACAAGATATTGGCTTACTTTGTATAATACACGCTCAGTCTTCTGCTGTCAAGTTTTCTTTATGGGTGGAGAGCACCTTCTACAGGAAATGGAGCTAATCCAAGTGAAAAACTTTGCACATTTATTAGTCCTTTTTTGTGTTAAACAGTTCAAGCATTAGGAGGATTTAACACACTGTTTTAACCCCCAAAGATCACGTTTCATGATTCCTATAAGTGTTTATATAACCTCCAGCCATGTTAAAGTGAAATACAGCTTAAAGAGAAATGAAACCTCTTACCCAGACTCTGAATTAAACCCTGAAAAGCAACAAGCAGCACAGTAAAAGCTAAAATACCCAGGATGACACTCCATCATAACTCATTCCTGTCCAAAATAAGGACCAGACTCTGTGTAATCCCCATATGCTTCTTGCCCTCAGCAATCTCCTCCCATAAATTGATTTGCCGTGGCTATCCTGGTGCAGAAATCAGACATCTTTTTGATTGAATCCAGCTCTCTGAGGTGGGCAAGCGAGTGAGGTGGCATCAGAAGGACACCGAGCCAGCCGAATGGGGGTTTTACAGTTATTAACAACCCAAAAGAAAACCCTTGTCAGAGCAGTTCAACGTGCTTTTACACTGTGATGCTGCAGCAAGAGGCCAGACTCCAGCTTGTGATCCTTGGCAGGATCAGCTGGATCCTGTTATTTAACCAAAGGTATGAACGCTGCCACTTGGACGCCCTGTACACAACTTTATCAGCTCTGTTATACAACTAAGGAGCACATACACCGAAAAAGAGTTGTTTTGTATGTCAGCACCTTCCCTGCTTTTCCACAAAGAAGTAAAAGCCGAGCAACAACAACTCAGCTTCCTGCACCCCCGGTTATACTTGTAGGAGTAAATCGCCACTTGTAGCAGGTTCGCTGTCTGTTCAGCTCAGCATCTTCTCTGCCCATGCTGACAGGGACTTGCAAAAGTTGTTCCCAAGGACAACTAGACCTGCTGTGTAGGGGTCTGGGTAGCTAGAAAATGTGGAGGTGCAGATGGAGAAAACCTTTGCCCACCTCCCTGTGTTACCCAGCCTGGATATACTAATCTAATATTATTCCTTTGAGCACCTTGGACTTATTTTTATTTTTCCCCCTGATTTATCTTGTTGTTTAAATGTTGCATTTGAATACTGTGGGAGAAAACTCAAATGTGCTACTAATTCCTACAACCATGTGCTGCTTCTCCTTGGGCTTCAGCTCGGCAAGCCCACAGCTCAGTCCGAGTTATCGGTGCTTAAGGATGTCTGAGATGAGCCAGCAAATTTGGGCTGGCAGATGCAGTCGGCAGCAGGACCAAAGTTTGGGGCTTTGGTGCCAGCTAAGAAAGTGATGACTCCTCGCCACTTTTTGCTCCGTCCAGAGGATCCTGTCTGACTCTTTTCCCTTCTGGCGTGGGGCTGAGGTTTGGCAAGGGAGAAAGTGCCCCGGTCCTGGAGGACTGATAAGCTTTGTGCAGCAGCTGCCAAGGGAGGATGTGGAAGTTTCCTCCCAGCACTTTGTTTCTTAGTGTGTTGCTACCTCCCGAAATTGCCAAGCACTGGATTTTTCACATCCGGGAGAGGGGTTACATCACGGGATATTTAGGAAGAAGTAGTCAGGAATAGCTCCTCCTCTCCTTAGGCTTTGGCTTCAGGACTAGACCCTGGCTTTGTACCGATGCTTTGGTGGGGCATGAGGAGAGCGTCACTCACCGTTGACTCATTGCTGATAACTTTTAACACAGCTTTGATTTGAAAGGTTTTAATTGCCTACCTGATGTCTGGCTGAATGAGTTTCACACCGGAGTCCATCCCTAAAACCACTCACCATGAGTCAGGCCAGCCCTTTGGAGACCTTTGTTATTTTATTGGAGTGTGGGCTGTGTATCTGTTTCCTGGCTTCTCAACCCATTCAGCAGAGGTTTGGGTATTGCACTCTGTGATTACGCAGTGAGAAATTAAATTGTTCTGTAATGTTTCTACACTGTGTTTTGTGAGGTCCGAGCCTTTTTCTGTATCTACAGAAAGGTGGTAGCAGGTGCTTGGGATTTCACAGCTATTAGTGTTACAGGCAGGCATTCAATAGTACTAAAAGTGCTGGTTTTGCAGCTTAAAGACATTTACATATTCTGTTAAACAATTTTTTGAACAAAGCAGCACCCAGTGTGGCTAAGTTTGCCTTTCCCACTTATTCCTACAGGTGTTTTACGTCTCAGATCTCTTCAAGCCCAAGACAAAGACTTGCCTGCCTCCACCACCCATCCGGAAAGAGATCCTTTCACCTGTGGACATCATTGAGCGGAATAACCATCACAACATGGTGTAGACCTTTGAGAAATTGGATGGGTGTTGTATTTTATTTTAGATTTATTATTTTTTTTTTTTTTGCAAAAAAAGACTGCTGACAGCAACTACCTGCTGCTCTCAAATCTCATCAGACAGTAGAATGTAGGGAGAGACTTTCTTGCCCGACAGTAAAGTCTTACTCTGTGGTCTTTTCAACTTGTGACATTTGGATGAAAGGGGTGGTGGTCGACTAAGTCAAAAGTGACAATGAGAAAGAAAAGAAACAAAATACAAAAGCCGAACAGAGAGAGGTGCCGGAGTTCTGGATGTGCAATTGGTTTGAGTGTTCATGTTGTAGTGAACGCCAAATTGTTCATAGCCTAATGAACACTAAGGGATTTTCGGAAAGCTGGCCATCTTAGGCTTTTTTACTATGAAGATTTCCAATGCCTGCGAGGAGAGAGAAAAAAAAAAAAAAAAAAGACAACTCACGATTAAATTGTATAGCACTATATATGAGAAACAGCACTGAGTCAAGATCTGGGATTGGTTTCTAAGAGTTGCTTTTTCTCTTTTTGATACTAGTTTATTTTTGCCTCCTCTATTCCATACTGTGACTTAGTTTAGAAGAAGCTTGCCCAGTCAAAGATCTCCGAAGGGTCTCTGTTCACACTACACGCCTTTAACGAGCAGTCCTGAGATGCGCCGTGAGGCTGAATAACTCCATCCTCCGCGCAGAGAAGCCACATTTCTTCCTCTCCGCTCACTCCCTGCCGAGGCTTTGTCCTGTCTGAGCCCCCAGGCGTGTGCAGCACCCACAAATGGCCCTTCCTGAAAAGAGCATCCTCTGCTTCCCCCAGCCCCTTACCCCCTCACACGGAAAAAATTCACAGCAGATTCCCTGTGCACCCACGGTAGCTGGCGGTTTGCACGTGGGTAGCGGCGGCTCTGCCGAAGACGCGTTCGCACTACGTCCTCGGGGCTGAGTCCCGGGGAAACTTTTACTCTGCAGTTTCGGGACGGGCTGCTGGGCGGCACGTCCCAGCCTGGGTGTCAGTTGGTTTGTGCATCCCCCCTCCCCTCCTCCTCCTCCTCCCTTGGGCACCCCGGTGTGTGCCACGGCAGGTACCAGGTCCTGTGCTCCGCTCGGTGACACCTATATTGAGTGTGATTTGGTTTTTGTTTTTTGGGGTTTTTTTGTTTTGATTTTTTTTTGTTGTTTGGTTTGTTTTGTTTTGTTTTTTTTTAATTTTTATTTTTTTGCCCGGAAACCACAGGTTCTTGGTTTGCAGCCCTTTCACAGAGCGCGTTTGCAAAGGGATCCCGTAAAGCATGCAGAACGGCCATTTGCACATCCTTCTTACAGAATCCGTCCTATCATTTCAACTATAGCAAGCTATGATTTTTTTTATATATAAATATTATATAAATAATGTATAAAACCTTAAAAATTAACTATGTAAAATATTATTTCTGAAACAATTTTAGATATATCCACTATGACTATAAACTGTGTCCTGACCTGTGTTATTTACATTTTGCTGCTTAAAAAAGCATTGAATTAATTTTTTTATAGTCGACTAAAATATTGTAGTTCTGTGGTAGTAATATTTTAATGAAAATAACTACAATTAGAGACATTTGTATAAAAAAAAACATATTAAATTGTCTGTATTTTTGTAATGTTCCATTTTGTAAAGAGAAGAATATTCAAAGACTTTTGTAGAATACAAAATTGAAGTTTGTATCTGCGAAATTATTGCTGTATAAATGTGCTTTTTAAATAAAAGCTCATAACACAACTAAACATCCTCGTGCGAATTGCGTTCTGCATTTGGGTTGATCTTCCCCTGCCAGAGAAAGAGGGCACTTGCCCAGGGGGGTGACCCTTTGGGATTTGATGATATATGAGGGCATCGGGGTAAAAAGGGACCCAGTGCCCCTTTTGGTGGGCATGCGAGCAGGTCCCACCAGCTCCTGGCTGGGGAGGGTGTGATGGGCACACTCGTGGGTTTATATTGAGCTGCTCTTGGCTATGCTCAGTCTTTGAGTATATCCCTTTTTACTGAAGGCATCCCTTTTTCTTTAGCAATATTATAAGCTTTAATGAAATACGTGTCCAGGACAGCCCCTGCCTAGAAGGGCTCACAACTATGCTCTGTACCATCTTTTCCATGAAAAGCAGGCGCTTTGCAGCTGAACAAAAAACTTGCAGCTTGCTGGGTTGTGAAGATGTGGGTGGAAGGGGAAAAGAAGAAGAAAAAAAAAAAAAAAAAAAGCCCACAACGTGTGCTCAGATATGCACATGTGCACAGCATGCAGTTACAAGGCAACCTTGATTTTTTTTTTACTAGTATTATTTTTTTTTCACTAGTATTATTTTTTTTCTTCCTCCTACAGAAGAAAATGAACTTCTTGGTGGTGACACATGGTCAGAGCTGCGTTTCGGCCACTCCTCGGGTGAACCGCATCGGCAAGATAACGCGGCACAGAAATAATTTGCAAGAATGCTTGACAGGAAGCGAATACCACATCAAACTGCAAACAAATAGCAGGTGGAAATTAAGCAAGCAGAACTCAGCTAGCACTTGCTATTATTATCCTAATTAGTAGCAATATTTCATTACACGTGGAAAAACTTCGTAAACCCGCACCTGTCCTAAATGCAAAGGGAGTTTTTATGGTGCCGTGTGTGATTTGAAAGCGTTTGGGGGTTGAGTGTGTTGTAGAGTTGAGTCTCTAGCTTCGGGGAAATGGCTGTAAGGATGGATGCTTAATCCCCAGTTTATCTCTAAAATATGCTGCCCGGGTCTGGGTAACCTGGGTGGGAGGAGGAAACCCTTCCCTGCCATGTCTGCCTGTGCCTGGCAGGAGCTTGGCCCTGTGGACCCCTTCACATGCGGGGCTGGCTCGGGTGCAGCAAGCTCTGGGCTGAGAAAAGTGTTTGTTTTGCATCTTAACCCCCGGCTACTTGGAAGAAAACAGGAATACAGATGTCTGGGTGAAAGAGGAGGGCTTGGAGAAGTGTCAGAGGGGAAACGGCACAGGAGGCGATAAGAGCCGGGGCAGACCCCGTGGCTGCAGGGCCGACGAGTCATAGGACCTCACTCGGGATGTGTGGGTCAGGTTGGGGAGAGGGAGAAGAGGCCGTGGATAAATTCATGGAAGGCAACAGGCTTGAACATCACAGCGTGGGGCTGAGCATCGGCAGTGCCAAGTCCTATTTCTGGCTGAGCGATGGTCGATGTTTCCTCCTCCGCTTCCCCGGTGCTGTCCCATCCCATCCGTGCCCCCGGGCTGGGAGGGCAAGGGCAGCTTCCCATGGCAGCCTGTGCCCAGGGGGTGCAGCTTTGCTGGGGCTCAGCCTCCTCGACCGCTTGGGAAATAAGTAAAGGGGAGTGATAATTGCTGGAGGCATGTATGGAAGGTGATTACATGGTGGCATGGTCCACAGAGACCTTCCTGGGTTTGCTGAATGTAGAGGAAATGTTTAGGTGCTACAGGAGGAATGAGCACTGATACTAAATGAGTGTTTCAATGAAACCCCACTGAGAAGTGAAAACCAAAGGAGTGGAGGTGTAGTTACTGCAAGCTGTGAGCACGGTGACAGGGCGTTTCTATTGCCATCACTTCTTACAGGGCAGGAAGGAAATGAAAAAAAAATGGGTGAAATGGAAAAAAAAAAAAAAAAAATCCATATAAGCACTAGGATCCCAAGGCAACCTCTTCTGCGAGTGGTCCCCAAGCAGTGTCTGCATGTGCGGCTGGAGCTTGCACCTTGCACTGCTGTGATGTTTGGCCCTTCATGCAAACGCGTATTGACGGGGATGCTGAACAGCCCAGGGACTTTGGGGCTGGCAGTTTACATGCTGCTCCGCACGCTGCAGCTCTGCAGCTAGCCCGGCGAGGGAGACGGATGAACAAACTCAGATGCGTTTATGCAAACAAGGCGTGCTGCTGGAGCCTGGGGCTGGATGCTGGTTGTGGCCTTTAGTGCTGCAAAATCTGGGCTCTTCTCACCCTGATGCTAATCGGGAGGCTGTGGAGCGCCCAGCGCTGCTGTCTGCCTTTGATGCTCGGGCCTGGCTGGCAGATCCTTTCTGCACAAGGAGCCGTTCTGGTCAAACCTGTCTTTTTTCGCACAGGGACCGGTTCAGCGTGTTTTCACAGGCAGGGATTCATGCATGCACCTGACTGCAATGGGATCAGGTCTTTTGTTCCAGGTTAAGAAAGATTTACGCAAGCCCCAGGTTCGGCGGTGTTTTGGTGTACCTAAACAGCTTCACTCAGCAAGAATGCTTGGCAGCCTCCAGAGGCTGAAGCTGTTGTAGTTCTGCTCAATGATTTTCGGATATGAAGTTCTCAATCAAGGGAGGGGGAGGGAGGAGATTTGTCCCACAAGCAGAGACCTGTTTTTCTCATGCTCCAAGCCTGCCTCATTTTGGGTATCCAAAGATTTCATCCAGTTGTTTGTAAAGATAAAACAAGCCTTCAGCTGTGGAGCCAGAGGACATCTTGGGTTGAGGTCCTTCAGCACCAGAGGGCTGATGTCAAGCCTACGTCCATGGTTGGGGTGCACCACTGTCATCCCTGGAAGCAGCACCCCATGTCAGCTGCATTTCTCCTCTCCATCTCCTCTTTCTCTTGACACACCCTCTGCCTTCATCCACCATTCTCCTCCCAAAAGGTAAGCAATTCCTACCTTGTGTTTCTCTTTACCTCTGGAGACCAGATCAGAGGTTCAGGTTTTATGAATGAAGTGAATCACTTTCCTCCTGCCTTCTGTAAACATGGTCCGTAAAGCTGCCCACAGACACGAGCTACTGCCCGTCTCCTCCAGACCTCCCCACCCTTGTTCCCTGGGTGCCAGGCGATGGTCCTGGCACAGCCCTGATGGCCAACCGCTCGCCTTACCGAGCTACATCAAGGTTGACCAGAAGCTGTCACCTTCACTGAAGGAAGCAGGAGGTAGAAAACAACCTCCTGTTGACTCAGCGGCAGGGGGTGGGGGGAAAAGACACACAAACAAACCCCAAAACCCAACAACTTTCAATTACCACCTTTGCATGCCACCCCCACTGGCACCAGCCGGCGAGGGAGTGCCTGCATTAGCTTGTCTTGAGTTATAATTTCCTCAGGGCACAGACTACACCTATGTATGTGTTTGGGCAGTAGTGATCAGACTGGTTGTGATGAATCCCCGCCCTGTCCTATCTGTAGCTAGAAGGGAGCGAAGTCGCCGGGAAAATCTCCCGGTTTCCTTAGAAAGTCTCGTTCTGCGAGTTCCTGCCCTGCTCGAGCGCTGCCGACTGCCACCGCAGCGGTAGCTCGTAGGCAATGCTGCTTTTAATATATAGTGGTGCAGCCTCACGTAGCATTTAATTTTTGTCTTTAGCCCAGAAAATAACCGTCTTGGCTTTTTTTTTTTTTTTTTTTCAAATCTCTCATCAGGTGACTCTCAGCACTGCGTTTCGGGACACGTGAAGTGCGAGGCAGGCAGCAAATTCACTGCTGGTGGCAAAGGCATCAGCATCTGCCGCGTTTAAAGGCATGAACTCTACAGAGTTTGATCTCACTTTATGCTAAGAGTTCATAACAAGCAGGAACAATGGGCTATTATTTAAGAAAAAACACCTTTTAGTGTTTCCACGTGTCAGCAGAAAGTTGAGAAAAAGAACCACCAAAACACCAAAATATGTGTACACACACATCTACAGATGGAAGAGACGGGAACTGAGGGGAATTCAGCCTGATTCTGAAGTCTTTGAAGTAATTAAAATTATACCAGAACTTGAAATAATGTGACCTCTCTTTCCCACCTAAAAAATGAAAAAAATGAAACAGAGCCATCACTTAGTTTGTACGGGAACTGGTGTGAAAAGCTTGGCTTTCCAGCTGCGCTTTGACATCTCCATTTCCAGGTGTGTGGTGTGAGTGCATGCTAGCTGAGGTCAGTCTGAGATATAAATTAAATAAAAGAGCATTTAGTTTGTGCTAGGCTGATCTTTCCCCTGGAGAAACATCATGAATGGAACAGGAAGAACTGTGCTGTTTTAATAAGGAACGCAGAAATAAAATAAAATCTAAAAAAAAAAAAAAAAATCTAAAAAAATAAAAGAAACACTCTTTTTATCCAAAGAAGGAAGGGAGCCAGATCTCCTGTGAGCACCATCATTTCAAAGGGACCTGCCTTCTGCACAAGTGCATAATTTGCTTATTTTCAAAGAAATTTTAGTGATGTTGAAGGCAAATGACTAACATTGCTCTAGTCTCCTAGGGCTTGTCTAAACAAGAGAAGTTGTTAATGTTTAATATGAGGTAAAATTTTAATCCATTTCATTAAACTGTGTAGATATTCTTAGTTCAATTTTAAGCAGGATTAGTCTGGTTTACCTCAAGTCAAGTAAGCACAAGTATAACTTCAACTGATATAAGCCTTGCTTAAAATAAATGAAGAATAGTTACCAAATCTGGGGGGTGGGGGGGAAAGCCCATTGAAGCTTTTATTTAAAACAAAAGATAGAGTTTGCTTTGATTTTTTTTTTTCTTTACAAAGTATTTCTTTCCATGGGAAAACAATAAAAACTAGAAAAAGTCTATGAAAGTTTTGCTTGTAAATGATGAGATGATTGCAGCTGAAAAAACACTACTAATTCAAGAGAGGTAATTCTTTTCAGCAGAGCCAGCCTCAGCATCCACTTGAATGGATGTGGTGCAAGCCTGGGCCAGTCAGACACAGCACTTCCAACTCACCCATTTCTAAGAGTCACCAACACCGACTGTAAATGAATTAATCAATGCCAAGGG